TACAAAGTTTATATTGTAGAAGATACATAAATCCCAGATACCCAGGTCTCTGCTTGGGTCGCCAGGGAGCATGGCCAGCCTGCAAACCACCACAGGCCCCTCGCCCAGGTGGCCCAATGGCCCAAGGGAACCCCCACCCTGATCTGAGACACCCTTCAGGGCAAACAAGCCTGCCCCCACCCATGCACTAGGCCTCTATCCTATCTAATAAAAGAGTAATATGCAGATTGACCATCACTCCCACACACAAGATGGCTGCCCCCATGTGGTCAAAACTCCTGCCTCTATGTGGACACAAGATGGCCACCACAAGATGGCCAGCAGAGGAGGACAGTTGGGAGGGACTACGCCTGCAAGGAAGCACAGTTGTGGGCAATCAGGCCAGCAGGGGAAAGCAGTTGGGTGGAACCAGACTTAGAAGGGAGGCCAGTGAGGGGTGATCAGGCCAGCAGAGGAGGTAAGTTGGGGGTGACTAGACCTGAAGGGAAGGGAAGTTGGGGGGGGACCCATGCCTGCAGGGTAGAGCAGTTAGGGGGGACTAGGCCTGTAGGGGAGGGCAGTTGGGGTGACCAGGCCTGCAGGAGAGGGTAGTTAGGGGCAAAAAGGCTGGCAGGGGAGCAGTTGGGCATCAATCAGGCCAGCAGGGGAGTGGTTAGGGGGTGAACAGGCTGGCAGGCAGAAGCAATTAGGGGAAATCAGGAAGGCAGGCAGGCGAGCAGTTGGGAGCCAGCAGTACTGGATTGTGAGCAGTCAGGTGGGACAGGGCCTAAATGGGCAGTCTGATATCCCTCAAAGGGTCCCATATTAGAGAAGGTGCAGGCTGGATTGAGGGACATCCACTCATGCACAAATTTTGTGTACCAGGCCTCTAGTATGTCTTATAAAAGAAAAAAAAAGAGAGAAAATATATTGCATTTCCAATGCAACATTTAAGCAAAGTTTCATAATGGAAACAGATTTGTCTTTTTATTCTGATTATCTGTAAGTTTTAAGCAGCATGAGATTTATGCAAAGCATGAAATTAGTGACATGACTCAAAGAGGTCTATTGAAAACTGCTGTCTGAGGTACTTGGCAAGAGTCTTCAAGGTAAGTAAGTTCAGGGCTCTTAATATATGTATGTGTGTAACCATTTCCAGTAGGATGAAGCCATAATTCACAGGTATGTTTTCCCATTAATTCTTATAATTATGTGGGAAATCACACACACACACACACACACACACACACACACACACACACACACACAAAATAAAAAAATCAAAAAACACCCAAGTGCTACTTAAGAATCATACCCATTAGTTTTTGGTTAATCATGATGAAATAATGGTAGCTGTGAGCAATTTCCCATTTCCTTATCTCAGCAGTCTTTGTTCAGTTCTCAGATTTGTTCATGAAGGAATAATTATCACCACTTATAACCCAGTCAAGAATCAGAACCTGTTAACCACCTAACATTTCAAACTATTGAATTTTCCTTTCCTTGATGCCTGATTATTTGGCTTGCAGTTGACTCAGACTCATTCTATTCTTTAAGAAGCTCATTGAGAAAAGGTATCTTACTATACTTTAAATATTAATCATGAGAAAAATAAATAGTGGAGGAACACTCTTCTCTGCTACAAATGTGACTTTGGCTGCTACTTCTAGTCAGCTTAATATCATGCTTATTTAAAAACATGGTTTAAACTCTCACATTAGAATTCTTTTAAAGGAAACTATTTTTTTCCCTCTAAATTTTGAGATGGGAACAGTGAATAAATGAAACACAGAGAGAGCTACATTTTGACTCAACAGAGAGAAAAAATACCTGATTAGAAAACAGAATGGGGATATTTCTTTTTGTTTTATAGTTTATTATTTTATTTTTCATTGATTAGGGTATTACAAATGTGTGGTTATTACTCCATTGCACCCCACCCCAGTCCTGCCCTCACCCTCAATCTCTGTTGTTTGCATCCATTGGTTATGCTTATATGTATGCATACAAGTCTCTTGCTTGATCTCTCCCCCTTACCTCTCCTCTCCCCTGCTGTACCTCTGAGGTTTGAGCATGATAGATGTTTCTCTGTCTCTGGATCTGTTTTTATTTATTGGTTTATGTTGTTAATTATAATCCACAAATGAGTGAGATCATGTGATATTTATCTTTCTCTGACTGACTTATTTCATTTAGAATAATGCTCTCCAGGTCCATCCATGCTGTTGAAAATGGTAAGAATTCCTTCTTTTCTTTACCACAGCATAGTATTCATTGTGTAGATGTACCACTGTTTTAATCCACTCGTCTGCTGATGGGCACTTAGGATGTTTCCAAATCATAGCTATGGTAAATTGTGCCACTATGAAAATAGGGGTGCATATATACTTTCTGAATGGTGTTTCTAATTTCTTGTGATATATTCTTAGAAGTGGGATCACTGGGTCAAATGGGAGTTCTATTTTTAGTTTTTTGAGGAACCTCCATACTGTTCTCCACAGTGGCTGCACCAGTCAGCAGTGCACGAGGGTTCTTTTTTCTCTGCATCCTCCCCAGTACTTGTCATTTGTTGATTTGTTGATGATAACCATTCTCTCAGGTGTGAGATGGTACCTCATTGTTGTTTGATTTGCATTTCTCCGGTGATTAGTGACTTTGAGCATCTTTTCATATGTTTCTTGGCCTTCCGTATGTCTTCTTTCGAAAAGTATCTATTTAGCTCCATTGCCCATTTTTTGATTGGGTTGTTTATTTTACTTTTGTTAAGTTGTTTCAGTTCCCTGTAAATGTTGGAGATTAAACCTTCATCAGTGATAACACTGGCAAATATGTTCTCCCATGCAGTGGGCTTTCTTGTTATTTTGTTGAGGGTTTATTTTGCCATGTAAAAACTTTTTATTTTGAGGTAGCCCCATTTGTTTATTTTCTCTTTAGTTTCCATTGCCCTAGGAGTAGTGTCGGGGAAGAAATTGCTTTCTCATATCTCTGAGATTTTTTTGCCTTTGAATTCCTCTAGTATTTTTATGTTTTCCCTTCTTACATTTAAGTCCTTTATCCAGTTTGAATTTATTTTTGTGTATGGTGTAAGTTTGTGGTCTAGTTTCCTTTTTTTTTTTTTTTTTGCATGTATCTGTCCATTTTTTCTCAACACCATTTATTGAAGAAACAGTTTGATTTCATTGTACGTTCTTGCCTCCTTTGTCAAATATTATTTGAACATAGAGATTTGGCTCGATTTATGTGTTCTCTATTCTATCCCATTGATCTATATGTCTGTTCTTGTGCCAGTAACAAGCAGTTCTGAGAAAAGTGGCTTTGTAATATAGCATGATATCTTGTATTAAGGTCTGTGAAATATGCCATTTGTATTTTAATGGAGAGTGCATTGAATTTATACACTTAGTGGCCAGATCATTATGATCTCTGAACTCATAATAATCTGGCCACTCAGTATATATATTCCCACTTTGATGAGCATTTTTATCAGAAAAAAATTACATATATATTAGAGGCCCAGGGCATGAATTCATGCATGGTCAGGCCAGCCTGGCCAGGAGGAGGAGACATGGACAGTTGGCTGGCCTGCCTGCTGGTCAAACTCCTAGTTGAGAAGACAATTTGCATATCAACCTTTTATTATATAGGATATACACTCAGTGGCCAGATTATTATGCATTCAGAGATCATAATAATCTGGCCACTCAGTGTAGATTGCTTTGGATAGTATGGACATTTTAATGATTCTGATTCTACCAATTCATGAACATGGTATGTTCTTCCATTTGTTTATGTCTTCTGTCTCTTTCTTCAACATCCTGTAGTTTTCTGAGTAAAGTTCTTTTGCCTCCTTAGTTAAGTTTATTCCTAGGTATCTTAATTTTTTTGGTATAATGGTAAATGGGATTTTTTTTTAATCTTTCTCATTTTAAGTTCACTGTTGGTGTATAAAATGCCATGAATTTCTTGGCATTAATTTTGTATCATGCTACATTGCTGATTTTATTTAATAAATCTAATAGTTTTTTAATGGAGTCTTTATGGTTTTCTTTGTACAGTATCATGTCATCTGCGAATAATGAACATTTTGCTTCTTCCTTTCCAGTTTGAATGCCTTTTATTTTTTCTTCTTGTCTTATTGCATTGGCTAGCACTTCTGATACTATGTTGAATAGGATTGGTGAAAGCGGTCATCCCTGACTTGTTCCTGTTCTTAAGGAATATAGTTTTAGTTTTTGCCCGTTGTATATGATACTGACTGGAGGTTTGTCATATAACGCTTTTATTATGTTGATATATGATTCTTATATTCCCACTTTGATGAGCATTTTTATCAGAAAATGGTGTTGGACTTTGACAAATGACTTTTCTGCATCAATTGACATGACTGTGAGATTTTTGTCTATTTGTTTATAAGCTGTATCATGTTTATTGATTTGAGGATATTGTACCAGCTTTGCATTTCTGAAATAAATCCCACTTGGTCATGGTGTATGATCTTTCTAATGTAATGCTGGATCCAGTTTGCTAGAATTTTGTTAAGGATTTTAGCATCTATGGGATAGTGGCCTGCAATTCTCTTTCTTTGTGGTGACTTTATCTGGTTTTGGGATTAGGGTAATGCTGGCTTCATCGAAAGAGCTTGAAAGTTTGCCTTCTAATTGAAAATTTTGGAGTAGTCTAAGAAGAATTAGTTTTAGTTCTTCTTTGAATGTTAGGTAAAACTCCCCCATAGCCATCATCTCAAGGGCTTTTGTTTGCTGTAAGCATTTTATTTACTCTTTCAATTTCATCAAGAGATATTGGCCTATTCAGATTTTTTATTCTTCCTGATTGAGTTTTGGAAGGTTGTAATTTTCTAGGAATGTGTCCACATCATCGAGGCTGTCCAGTTTGTTGGATTATAAATATTTGTAGTATTTTTTTTTATAATCCTTTGTATATCAAGGGGGTCAGTTGTTACTTCAACTCTTTCATTTCTGATTTTGTTTAATTGTATCCTCTCTCTTTGTTTCTTGATGAACCTGGCTAGAGGTTCATCAATCTTGCTTATCCTTTCAAAGAACCTGCTCTTGGTTTCATTGATCTTTTATATTATTATTTTTTTTTGGTCTCTATGTCATTTATTTTGCTCTGGTCTTTATTATTTCCTTCCTGCTGGATATTGTGGGCTTTTCTTGTTGCTCTCTTTCTAATTCTTTAAGTTGTAGAGTTAGATAATTTATTACCATTTTTTTTTTTTTTTTTTTTTTTTTTTAAATAGGCCTGTAGATCTTTGAACTTCCCTCTTGGGACTGCTTTCATTGTGCCCATAGATTTGTGACTATTGTGTTTTCATTGCCATTTGTTTCTAGGATGCTTTTTCTTTCTTCTTTGATTTTTTTAGTAACCCAATTATTGTTTAATAGCATGCTATTTAGCCTCCAAGTATTTGATTTTTTTATTGTTTTTATTGTAGTTGATTTGTATAATAGTTTTATGCCATTGTGATCTGAGAAGATGTTTGTTATGATTTCTATCCTCTTGAATATGAAGAGACTTTCCCTGTTCCCTAATATGTGGTTTGTAGAGTGCGCCTGGGAAGGTACATGAGTATTTCTTTAATTATTTTCATCTGAATCCAGTGGCTACAGCAGAGTCACCTCCTGGAAACACACCTTGCCATAGGTAGGTGTGTTATCTTCAGTTCAGGCGCCAGGGGGTGGGTTTCATTATCTAAATCCAGCCAAGCACCTGGAACAAACATGATTATTCTTGCCCACTCAGAAGTGACAATTACAAAGAAGCCACAAGAATGCACATAATCTCCTTTGTCTTTGGCTTTAGTAAATCTTCCTGGTATTTTGCTGTATAAAATAAACTTGCTGTATCTGCTCTGGGTCACTCTCTCTCCATCAGAGGACAGTTGTACCACCTGGCCACAGCTTTTTCCTTCTGTCTCTGTGTCAGTCTCTTTCTTTAATTTTTTCAATCCACAGCATCCCCTACTCAGGAAACATACCACTCTCTAGATGCACTGGATATGGAAAAGAGAGAAATATTTACAATGGTCTATGTTTGAAAATGTCCCATGTGCATTGGAGAAGAATGTATATTCTGTGGCTTTGGGGTGAAATATTCTGAATATGCCAAATAAGTTAATCTGATCTAGTGAGTCATTTAAAATTGCTGTTTCCTTGCTGATTTTTTGTTTAGAGGATTTATCCAGTGGTGTCAGTGGGGTATTAAAGTCCCCTACTATGACTGTATTGCTATTAATCTCTCCCTTGATATCTTCCAGAAGTTGTTTTATGTATTTGGGTTCTCCTGTATTGGGTGCATATATGTTTACCAGAGTTACATTTGAATTGTCTCTTGTTATATCCTTCAGTTTGAGTTCTATTGTGTCAGATATAAGTATTAGGACACCAGCTTTTTTCTCATTGCCATTTGCCTGAAAAAATTTTCCATCCCTTCACTCTTAGTCTGTGTGAATACTTTGTTCTGAGATGGGTTTTTTTCAGATGGCAAATATGTGGGTCATGTTGTTGTTTTGTTTTGTTTTGTTTTTTTGTTTTCCATTCAGCTACCCTATGTATTTTGATTGGGGCATTTAATCTATTTATCTTTGATGATATTATTGATAAGTATTTGTCATCATTTTTATACTTAATATTTGTGGTTCTTCTTGCCTTTCTGTTCCTTCTTTTTTAAAATATATTTATTGATTTTGGTATTAGATATGTGCAGAATTTCTTGGATTTCTGTCTTGGTGGCAATAAATTCTCCTAGCCATTTTTTTGTCTGTGAAGCTCCTGATTCCACATTCAGTTTTGAATGATAGCCTTTCTGGGTATAGTATTCTTGGATCCAGTCCCTTGATTTGAATCACTTTGTATATTCCATTCCATTCCCTTATGGTCTGGTGTGTTTCTGTTGAGAAATCAGTCAATATTGCAATGGGAGATCCATTGTATTTTACTTTCTGTCTCTCTCTGGCAGCTTTTAAGATTCATACTTTGTCTTTGATGTTTGCCTATTTAATTATGATGTGTCTTGGTGTTGTTCTTTTTGAGTTCATCTTGTTTGGGACTCTTTGTACTTCTTGGACTTGTGTAGATTTATTCTTGCCAACTTCGGGAAAGTTTTTAGTCATTATTTCTTTAAACATGTTTTCCTTGCTTCTCTTCCTCTCCTTCTGGTACCCCTATTATGCAGAGGCTGTTTCACTTTGTGCTGTCCCAAAGCTCCCTTAGGCTCTCCTCTTGCTTTTTCAATTTCTTTCCACTTTCTTCTGTGTTTGTGTGTTTTTTCCTACCTTGTCTTATAGCTCGCTGATGCAGTCCTCAGCTTCTTCTAGTTTACTGTTTAAGTCTTCCATTGTGTTCATTATTGAAGCTATGTCATTCCTCTTGGCTCCTTTTCATGTTAGTGACATTCTCATTCAGCTCCTTATAATTCTTATCGAGTTTTGGGTATTTGTCATTGAGTTGTGTGTATTCATCATCCAGCCGTTTGAGCATTCTTATAACCATTACTCTGAATTCTCTCTCTGATAAACTTCTAGCCTCAAATTCATTTAACTCCCTTTCTGGTGGTTCCTCTTTTTTCTTTCCTTTGGGAATTGCTTTTCTGTCTTCCCATATTTTACTATAACATTTTAATTGTTTCTGTGTCTTAGATCTGCCTGCCTGCTTTTTTTTTTTTTTTTAACATATTTTATTGATTTTTTTTTTTTTTACAGAGAGGATGAGAGAGGAATAGAGAGTTAGAAACATTGATGAGAGAGAATCATTGATCAGCTGCCTCTTGCATACCCCCTACTGGGAACGTGCCCGCAACCAAGGTACATGCACTTGACCGGAATTGAACCTGAGACCTTGCAGTCCACAGACCAATGCTCTATCCACTGAGCCAAACCGGTTTTGGCAGATCTGTCTGCTTTGCTACCCAGGTTCTTTTGGGGATGGTACTGCTGGTGTGAGCTCTAGGGTCCCCTGGGCTTGGTAATCTAGCATAGCTCCCTACTTGAGCTATTTCGGTTTTCTTGATATAGGCTTGCAAGCAGGAAAGGCACAACTGCAGTGTTCAGATATCAGGAGCCATGAAGAGCGATGTCTCAATTTTTGCTGCCTTTCATCCCTGCTTGAAATCATGCATGCCAAATGGGGGCTCACAGAGGTACCCAGGAACCATCTGTCAGGGTGATGGGGCTCAGGAGCCCTGTGCTCTGGAAAGGCATGACTGTGGTGTCCAGAGCTCTGTATCTGTAGGGTGGAAGACTCAGTTTCTGCTGTTGCCTCCTTGGTTGGATACATGCGCATCCAGTGATGGCTCACAGAGTTGCCTGCTATGTGTTTGCCAGTGTGGCACACTGACGTACTCTGAAGGGCCCTGGCTGAAGCCAAGCAATTGACGTGTCTGTGGGCAGGTATCCAGAAAGAGGGTATTCAGAATTTCTACTTCCAGGGCAGTGCACCCTTGTTTAGATAAGAGTGTGCCCAGCAGGGGCTCACAGCAGCACCCAAAAGATGCCGGTGGAACAGTGGGCTCAGGAGGTCTGCATACTGGAAAAGTGCAACTGCATTGTCCAGAGTTCTGCAGGTGTAGGGTGAGAAGATTCAGTTTTTGCTCTTGTACTGTGGTTGGATATACATGCTCCCAGTGGCAGCTAACTGGGGTACCCATGGTGTGTTTGCAGTGTGGAGCTCTGACATACTCTGAGGGGCCCTGGCACTGAAGTTATGCAACAGTTTCTGTGGGCAGTTATTCAGAAAGAAAGAGTGAATTCAGAATTTCTACTATAGTGCAGTGCATCCTTGTTTGTATAGTATCGCACCCAGTGGGGTCTCACAGTGGCTCCAAAGAGCTGCCTGTGGAGTGGTGGTCATAGTAGGCTTGCATGCTGGAAATGCCTGTCTGTGGCAGTGTGTTTGTGGAATAGAGCTTTGATGTACCCTGGGGGCCCTGGTGCTGTAGTTGTATGACAGTGTCTATGGACAGTTATTCAGGAAGAGTGAATTCATAATTTCTACTGGGGGCAGTGCACCCCTGTTTGCACAATAGCATACCCAACAGGGGGCTCACAGTGGCTCCCAAGAGCTGCCTGTGGAGTGGTAGGCTCCAGAGGCCTGCCTGCTGGATACGTGTGTCTGTGGTGATGCATTTGCAGTGTGGAGCTCCAACACACCCTGAGGGGCCCTGGTGCTAAAGTTGTACCACGGTGTCTGTTGGGCAGTTATTCAGGAAGAATTATTTCAGAATTTCTACTGTGGGGCAGTGTGGGGTTATTTCTTGAAGCAGCAGGCATTCTGCCTGTGAAAGTGTTGAAGCAGAGATTAAAAGCTTTATGGTCTCATTTTAGGTACAGTATAAAGGACAAAATACCTGCATTAGAAAAGAAACTGGACTAGATTATTATGTATTTTTAAACTATAGGATTCTAGATTTAAAATTCCTTTTCTTGGCACTAAACATGACTCTCACAAAATAATGCTATTCAACAGTTCTTAGGTCATGTTAATTTAGAATGTATGATTCTGAAAAAGTACCCACTGATACCTAACTTTACTAGCTTTACATTTGGGATGAAACTTCTATGCCTTAATCTAAAAGAAATACTGAGATGCAGAATTCTATCCATAATAGCAGAATGTTGGAAGTCATATTTTGAATAGGTCTTTCTCTAGGGCTCCCCTGTAGCACCCAGAAAAGTATATCCCCTGGACCAGAAACCCAAGAATTTTGTTTTCTGTTTTTTATATGAAACTTTCTCTAGTCCAAAATTTGAAGCAGTGAAATACCGTGGACTTTATGTTTGGGTGTTGAGCAATGGATTAAGTAAAATAAAGTTGTAAATTAGGTGTCCAAATACAATGAAAATAATTTACATTTTATTTTTGTGAAATATCATAACAGTTGATATGTGTAGTAATTAAATATGTATTAGAGGAGACTTATTTCATTAACACCTGATTAGTTCTTTTATGTAAATTATTGCCTAATCACATATAAGAAGTAACTGTGAATTTCTTTGATAACTCTTATTTTAAAAAATTGAAAAATATCATTGGCTCTATTAACCATTGAGCTTACAGTTATCTTCTGCAATCTCAACATTCAAGGA